ACTATAGCAATCAATAACAGACGTCATTCATTCCATTTGTCAAACATTGACGGAAACACGCGAGGTTTCCCGAAGTTATCTCAAAGCGAGAGACAGTCGCAGTAAACACTGATCTCTAGTCGGTTTTTGGCGAAAATACCAGATTTTCACCGCTCATTATCTCAGCGTAGGGGCATCGTAGGGACATGCGGTTTGTTTTATATTAACAAGGTAGGACAGCTGATTAATAATACTGCAAAGAATCGTCAAAATAAAACGGGAAAAGTTTATTAATTCGACTAATACTGCAACATGGTTTCAGCATTTCACCGTTGTACGCTCTCCTTCTTTATACGCTCTTAATATAAACTATTGTGTGGAGCTATACGTAGCAATTGACTACCTTAATTATACTGGCCCACTTAAAAGTCACTAATATGATAATTGCTTGACTAATTTGCATGTTGTACTACATGTAGCGTACGTGTAGCGTACGCACATAGAATTTATGCTGTGCTCATTAGTATATGTACACACGCGCATATTTTCGCCACGTTTATTTTTTTGTAATGTGTTTTGTGTGGTTATATGGAACGTTTTTAGTTGTGTAGTACGCGAACGTATTCTCGTCAGTTATTTATTCACGTCTCTTTCACAAATTAATCAAACTTGTTTTGTGAACCACTGAACAATGCACGCGCTGAAATTCGTGTGCGCGCGCGTTCGTGCGTTCGTGTGCGTCCGTGCCTTCGTTTGTGTACGGGCGTCCGTGTGCGTGTGCACGCATACTCTTAAATTGTTGTGAGAACACACTTCACATGCTCATCTCATCTCTGCTGCACGCCGTAGTTACGCGTGGCGTTCTTCATCTACGCTACTACTTCTGCCGCCGCCCCCGCCGCTGCTGCGACGTTGTTATGCTCTCATTGCGAACTCTCAGGTCGTTAGCCTCTCCGTAACCCATTTTCCTCGTGAAAGGCGGCCGCGCCGTGCGTGTGTGCGCGCGACGGCGGTGTTGCTACGTGTTCTCTCATGACGTTGTCGTTGTCGGGCCGAGGAAGCGGGTCAGTCTGCCACGTCACGTGACACACAATGACAGCGGACGCGCGGGACTCTGTGTCTATCGTCTGTCGGCGATGCGTGAAGGCCGGGCTAGTTACTGTAGACCGGCGCCAGCGTCGCTCCACCACCGTAATTTTTCTTTAAATACGTTTACTCCGTGTTTCACTTGAGACGCGCGCGGGCGGTCCTCTCTTCTCACTGCCCCCCCCCCACACGAGAGACTTGCTCGTTCCCCGCTGGTGACTCACCTGAGACCTACACTCCCTACCTAACTTATCCTTTTCCCCTCAGTATCTCACACGAGGCCTTCCCCTAGCGGCCTAGCCGCACCCATCCCCTCTGGTGGGTGCCTCACACGTGGAGCGAAATGATGACGCGCTAAACAAACGAACGCCACGTGCTGTTATTGCTGCTGCTGCTACTGCTGCTGCTGCTGCTACTGCTGCTGCTGCTGCTGTTGTTGTTGCCGTGACGATGTTACAGTGTATTATATATTATCAAGAGCTAATAATAGGTATTATTCGCTCTTGATATTATTATAATCGTAGCTATCTACTGCTTGGATAAAGGGAGATATTCAGTATGTGGGTGTTGTTGTTGTCGTTGTTGTTGTGAGATGTATAAAGTGATTACGTCACCGTAAATAATAAAAAAAAAAAAAATCTCACTTTTTCACAAAATATAAGTAATTCTGTTCACTTTTTATGGTTAAATTGCTGCATTATACTTCTTATTTTACTATATTGTTCGATGTGAACATACACTCGTGACTCATACATAGCAAGCAATTAATGTATAG